AACCCCCCCCCCCTCCCCCTGATTCCTACCTCTTGGAGCTGTCTAGTGGGGGGGGATGGGGATAAATAGTTCACATGAAACAGGAAAGGCCACAAAAAGTCAGCAACCTCTCTCTCAGTAGGTTAGAAGGGAAATCGACCTCGCTCCAAACGAAGAGCAAATACTCCCCCTCCCCCCTTGACAACGTCCCTGGAACTAGAAAAATCAACTATCAAGAAAAGCTCAAGTACGATCCCCTCCACCGTTACGACCCCCGTTGGAGAATCCCCAACAACGTGCAGGAACAGCAGGAGTTTGCTAGTCAATCATTACTAAGGCTGTGAGAAGAGGTTAGAGCCCCGAAGAAAAAAGGGAGTTCAAGGGCTCACGGTCAAAGGTGTATCGGAATATAATGTACTTTTCAAAGTGACACTTATTTCCACACTTGTACTTCCTCAAAAAGCGAATTTTCTTGGAAACCCGGTAGTTGATAGCTGTTTTGACAACTGTTAGCCCCTTAAGGGCAGCTGTATCTGCATGAATCAATCCATACTCAACAACATGATTTTTCAAAGAAGCCATTATAGACAAAATGTTCATCACTCTTTGCTTAAAAAATATAAGTAAATTCGATAATTATAAAGTTCTGCCTACAACAAACTCACAACTGTACAGCCTCTACACCTAACCGCGAAACATGATACAACAGGAAACAAAATCTATTCGAACACATCTTCCCGTTCACAAATGTACTTGAATACGTCACGAGGACATTTCAACTTCTCTGAGTCTTCAAGAGGAATTTCGAATCCGAACTCATCCTCTATCGCCATCATAATCTCCACCTGAAATGCTCAGTAATTTCACCCTCACACAGATGTGGACCTATAAACTCATCTAATGTAACTAACGTACCTGGTCTAGTGAATCAAATCCCAGATCTTTGACAAAATCGGCTTCGATTTTGAGCAGCGTTTCCTTGTCTGCGGGGAACCTGTCCCATGCACGTATCGCTTTTAGCACGCGTGATTCCACCTGAAAAAGCTGATGATTATGGTTCCCGCAGAAATTCTATCTTCCTCCACTTTCGTTCCCCATTATGACACAAACCACCATATTCTTTGAGGTACAAGCTGAAATATTCACAACACCACAAGGATCATGGCGACTTGAACGAACACAGCCCGAAATACGTTTTCGTCCTTATGTGGCAACAAGAAAGCAACATGAAGTCTTAGCTGATCTCATATAATCAAGTTCGCGACAAAACTGCATCGAACAAGAAAATGAAGTAAAGAAAGAACGCAATTTCGTTTTTGTGAAGCATTCGCAACGCTCTAACGAAACGCGGCTTATACAAAGGGGCGGCTCATACCACAGAAAAAGGTTCAATTTGAACAATTTTTGTGTCGATTATCATTAAATTTCCAGAACGCCGGAACCAGAGGCAACACAAGTCGAAGTTGCCATTTTTTGATGAGAAATGTATCACAAGACACCTTTCGCAGGCTGGCCTCGAATATGCTTTCCAGTTTGACAGAACAAATGTCCAAGCAAAATTAAGAGGTTTTTTCTACGAATAACTTATGCATCTTTTGAAACATCTAATAAAAAAGCTAGCGAAAGATCAAATTTGTAGTAGCGCGGCCGACCGCTTAGAGAATTGCATTCGCACAACCGACTTGGGAAGAAGCGGACCCTTACCTGCGCTTTTTATTAGGTTGTCCGGAAACAGGGTACAGCATCGTTGTGCGAAACCCATAGGGGGGTCGTACTTGGCCGCTGGGGAGGGGGGGGGTCGTAATCTCAAGGGTCACTCAGAGCCGGGCAATGCTTTGACATTTCAGTTGATAGTGGGAGTGGAGCTATGGAAGTCAAGATGTTAAAAAAAATGAATTATTATGAGTGTATTCTTTACAGATTTAACTGCTACGTTTAACAGCCCTCTTTTCATGCGAAATCCCCAGAAAGGGGTTCGTACTTGGCCGGGGGCGGGGGACGTGGGGAGTATCGC